GCGCGGCCAATGGGAGCGCGGCAGCCGTCGCGGGCGGCCAATGGGCGCGCTCCAAGTGGATCCGCGGCGAGAGGCGCTGCCACGGCGGGCGCCGCGGGGGAGCGGGGAGGGCCCGCTCGGGGAGGCCGGCGGGGGGTCTCGGCAGCGCCGCGAGCCCCTGGTTAGGGAGAGGGGAGAAGCGCAGGGCTGAGGGGCGGCAACCGGCCGAGCCGGGTACATTCGGCGCCCCGCCCGCAGCCCGCTCGGGCGAGCAGGTTGTTTCTCGCCACCCCGCAGCCTCCCCCGAGSGCTTCGCGTTTTGCTGCCATCGGCACCTTTGGGCGCTTCCGCACGGGCGCCTTTGCAGCCCTGAGCCGCCCCAGGCGCTTTGGCAACACGCAGGGGCTGAGGCATCGCACAGCGCTGTGCAGAGGGACTCGCAGGGCGCCGGGGCACCGGCCTGGCGTGAGCTGCGGCAGGCACTGAAGGGCTGCAGGGCAGCGGGCGCCGCTGCGCGAGGCTGYGCCAGCCGGGCCGCCCGCGCTCACACGGCGCCCGCCGAGCAGCCGGTGGCGCAATCCGTGTTCCCGTGTTCCCAAGGCTCTTCTCCTGGAGCGAGCCCGCACGGAGCGGCAGCCCCGTTGGAAGCGCCAACAGGGAGGGATCGGTGGAGACRCCAGGTCTGCGTTTATCGAGGCCTGCGAGCACCGCGGCCCCTCTCGCACAGAGGCTCCGGGAGGACTTTCCCTTTGGTCTTAATGCCCAACTTCTGACTCCTTTCAGGATTACAATCGGATTTAAACTAAATGAGCACACTGTGGGTATAATTAAAGGCATTATCAGATTCCCAAAATATACCACATAGAGTCTTTATCATACAGCGTGGGAATGCATATGCTTGTTCTTCCTCCTTCTACTCCACAGTGAGTCATTTTCCAAAGTGCTGCTAAATTTCCATTCTCCCCTGAATCAACTCATTGCTTTGGAAAGAACAAGCGGCAGTGACCATCGATAACCTAGGATTTGTTCAAACACAACATGCTAAARATTCCTCTTTTATTTTTCCTTCGTGTTCTAGGTGATTCCAAAGCACAAGCACGTCCTTGTGAAATTTGATACCCAGTATCCTTACGGTGACAAACAAGATGAGTTTAAAAAGCTGGCGGAGAGCTCAGGCTCCAGCGAAGATCTTCTGGTGGCTGAAGTAGGAATATCAGGTGAGCAGCTCCCAACAGCCCAGCACAATAAGAGTTAGCAGGGAGTTAGTGGGATTTCTGCTCTGAACAGGCTTTGAGGTAATTCCGATAATGAGGAATCTGTCTGGTGCAGCGTGGGCAGAGGGAAACGCCCTGTGTGCCCAGCCTGGTGCTCCAGTGGGGAGCGTAGGAGTGTCATTTATCTAATTGCAGCTCATTAATGAAGCAAGGCAGCCCACACGGCTAAGCTGGATGCCATCCTCCTCATTTGGTTTTGTTTTATTTTCTTCCAGAGAGAAGACTTTTTGGTTCATTTCTGGGGAAAAGAGGCCTCATGAGAACCATGTTTTAACGTGGTCAAACAAAATAATCGCTATGTTATTAATTCAGTATAGGGAGCCTTCCATTTATTACTGATAGAGCACAGTGATTATTGCGCTACAGCTGGTACAACTTGATGKTCTTGTAGTTCTCTGGGAGATAAAAGAAGTGAAGAATGAATCACTGTCACCTTTCTTGTTCTTACTCTGCAGGTCAATTAAGAATTTAAACTTAGGGGAATTTTCCTACTGGAAAATTTCACCCAGTCTAACATCTCTAAACACGCATGGTTTTATCTAGGKAGCCTTGTGGAAATCTCATTAAAGTTTTTGGTTCTGAAGAAACATGCAGTTTTTGCATGATCAGATAATCTCTGGTAGCTTGGCATGCTGTCAGAATGAAATGGATATGTGTACACTCTCTGCACTTAATTTGGAAAAAACTCCAACCATAAATCATACAAAATCGATTGATAGGACAAACAAGAAAAAAAAATGCTATTGATTTTCCATAAGGACCCAGCTTGTGGGTAGAGGTCCTGCTAATGTCTTGATACCAGCACAGTCATAAAAAAAAAAAAAAAAAAAAAAAAAAAAAAAAGTACCATGGGAGCCTTGTATTTTTGTATGGAAAATCTAGCAGTGGTTCAGCTCGCACAAAGGACTTTCTGGAGTGGTGGTGTTTCGGTGTATGGCCTTTCCCTGCAAGAAAACAAAGAAGTTATTAGGAAATATGGAAACTATAGAGATGAAAAATCAGGGGAGGAAAGATGCCTTTTTTTTTCTTTTTCAAATCTTCTTAACCATATGTGCCATGTTTTGTTTTCTCTTGACAGATTATGGTGATAAACTGAACACTGACCTGGGTGAAAAATACAAGCTGGATAAGGACAAATACCCCATTTTTTACTTATTCCAAGACGGTGACTTTGACAACCCCTTACCTTACAYGGGGGAAGTCAAAGTTGGGGCTATTCAGCGCTGGTTGAAGAGCAATGGCATCTACCTGGGCATGCCAGGCTGCCTGAAGGAGTACGATGTGCTGGCCAGCAAGTTCGTGAGCACCTCGGAAAAGTCAGAACGTGAAGCCCTGCTGAAGAAGGGGCAAGAAACTCTAGCAAAAACAAAAGAAACCGATAAGAAGTCAGCCGAGCAATACTTGAAAATTATGAGCAAGATAGTGGAGCAGGGAGAAGAATTTGCTGCTAATGAAGTTGTCCGAATCACCAAACTGATTGAGAAGAACAAAATGAGTGATGGGAAGAAGGAGGAGCTCCAGAAAAGTCTCAATATCCTTGCTTCCTTCCTGAAAAAGAATAATGAAAAAGATGAGCTCTAGCGTGTTGGAGAACTTTGTACAAGCTGTGAAACATGGGCAGAATCCCAACCAGTTCTCCTTATACAGGCAACTTCCTCCTGGCTTCAAGAGAGCAGCAGATTTCCTTCTGAAATTCTCCATTCATTAGAAGATAAGCGAAAAACGTTCCTCAAAAGAAAAAAAAAATCAAATATTTTAAAAGTTACCTTAAAGCAAGATGTCAGTATTGTGTAATACTATTAAAAAACAGTGTTAAAGTAGACAGAAGAGCACTGGATTGGCCTGAAGCACATTCCTGGTGATTTTTTACAGCTGTTCCCTTGCAAAACTTGGTCTCACATTCCTTCTTAATGTTTAAAAAGGTACAAAAGGGCTTGGTGCCTGTCTCATTCCCACCTTTCCCTGTTTTTTTAGTGTCTGCTTTATTTTCTTAAGTTTTCTCATCCTCATATCTGCTCTTTTCCCAATACTGCGTGTTGTTGACTAAGTGACAGTTTTCCCTGTTCTTTTTCTGATTTTTCCCTCYGTGGTTTCCGTCTCTGAAACCTTTTTGATACCCTGACAGAGTGAAGGACTTAAGTCCTAAGCAAGGTGCTATTACGCTTAGACTTGCCCTGGTTTATGCAGAACTGTGATTTTTATTTTTATTTTCCCAAAAGCTTATACCTTAGGCAAATTCAGGCGACTCTCCTGTGAAAAGCACATCTGCTGCCTATATATTTTTTTTTCTTTTCCTTACGTGTCCTTCCCTTCTAAACTTCACTTCCCGGGTTTAAAATGTGTGTAAGAGGAGGAGACAAATAAGACCACTTAGCAAGTTTTGAGTAGTAGTTACGCCAATAAAATAACTTTTTCCAACCTTGTCTTCAAAAATGTTTGATACCAGTTATAAATAAGGTCTTAYACCACGACCTAAGAGCGTTAATTCTTTGCTGAGTCCCAGTAGCTGTTATGGCTGGTCCTGCAGTTCAGCTGGATCCTGCTGTCCTCCTGACCACAGTTCAAAAATAAACCTTTTCCATGCATTTTTACCTGAAAGCTCTGCTTTAAGCTAAGCAAAAGCGCTTTCTGGGGGAGCTCTGCTGCCTTTTGAAGCCTGGGCTGAGTACGAGGAACAGCTACCCCTGTGAGGCAAACGTATTAACAATGAATGCTACAATAATAAATCTGATTCTAAGTAATAGCTGCTGCTTATGCTGCTTGCTTGAGAATCTACTGCTGTTTTCTGGAGTTAGTAAGGAAGGCAAAGACTGAAACCTGGAAGAGTCCAGCAGGAGGAGTATATATCCAGGAATATCCAGCCAGGAGGAGGTGTATAGCCTATCCCTCTGCCCCCATACCCTTTCCCTGCGGGAGGAAAATGCTTCTTGGGCAGGGGCCCTTTGGCTGCCGCCGTTTCGGGGCCGCTGTGGGGCTGTCCCCCTCGTTGCTCCCGGCCTCGGGGGCTCCGCTCGAGGCTCCCCGCGCGGCCACGCGCCCTCGCCTCACAGCCACCCGCCAGGTGCCCTCGCGGTCGGCCCYGCCCCCCGCTGACGTCACGGGGGCGGGAATGAGCGGAGCGARGCGGCCGGGGCTGCCTTGAGGCGGGGGAAGCTAAGCAGGGTCGCATCGGGTCATGCGTTGGAGGGGAGACCCCAGTGTGGGGGCTGATGCAGCGCAAGGCGATGGAGGGGAGGTGGGGGTCTCTCTGCCCCTTGTGGGGCGCCGTGCTCGGGCGGCGGGACCCCGCGGCGGCCCCCGAGCCGGGCCCGCTCCGCCGCGGGGCCGGGCGGGGCCGTGCGGGGCGGGGCGGCGGCGCGGGCAGCCCCGGAGCGGCGCGGAGCGGAGCGGCGGCTGCTGCCCATGGCCCTCCCGGCGCCGCTGGACGGCGGGTGGCAGGAGGTGAGAGACTCTGCGGCCCCTCAGGGGAGCCTGGCCCCAGTGTGGGGCTCCCGCCTCCTGAGGACACGGGCGCGGCCCCTCATGGACACCCGACCCTTGCACCTCGTGGGGTATCTGCCTTGTCCCCGCTCAGAGGACCCTGCCTGCTCCCTCGTGGGGGCCCTGCTTGTCCCTTCACAGGGATCTTGCCCTGTGGTCCCTCACGGGAAGCCTGCATGTCCCCACATGGGGACACTGTCCCTTCACAAGGGCATTGCTCATGGGCACCCTGTCCTTTCCCTTTACAGGAGCCTTGCCCAGTCCTGCCTCATGGGGAACTTACCTGTCCCTGCACAGGGACACTCTCCTGCCCTTCCCTGTGGCACTCTCCCTCCCCGGGACCTGTCCCTCCACAGGGACRCTGCCTGTCCCCTCATGGGGACACTCTCCTGTCCCCTCCGCCATATCCCTTCCACACACACACGCACCATCCCCGTCCTCTCCCCAGGGACAGGAGACCAAGAGGACTCCCCTCTCCTTCCTCCCGTGCAGGTCTACTCGGCTCTGCAATGGATCCAGTTCACCATGGCCTTGCTGAGGTAGAGCGTGTCGCTGGCCGCGTTCCCCGCCACGGCTCCRGGGACTTGTCCCTGTGACGCCGTTTCCCGCAGGAACGAGCGAGCCCACTGAGCCCCGGCCCGTTCCCAACCCCTGCTCTGTTTTGCCAGTGTTATAGGTTCCAGCTCCATCATTGCCTACGCCGTCTTCCAAAACGCCGTGCGGTCGCCCGAGGTAAGGGCTGCGCCTCGGCTCTCCCCGAGTCGGCTGCTGGCAGCGCAGGGGGCAGAGACCTGTGTGTGTCCTGCTGGGGTGACAACAGGTCTCGGGCTTGCTTTGGTTAACCTTGGAGGCCAAGGGCTTGCCAGGATTTGGGTTCTTTCTCCATGAYGGGATTAAGAGACACCTGGATCTGTGCTCCCTCGGGGAGAGCAGGCTCCTCAGCACTGTGCTCCCTGCAGCCCTTGGAAAGACCTTGGGGCTTTCAGGTGCCGTGCCGGGAATGGGGATTTGCTCAAGTTGCTTCCCTTAGGGGCAAGGAGTGCAGAGCATCTCTGTGTAGAAAGCTGCTGAAGSTTTGCATCTGTGTGAGATGCATTTGTAGGTCATTGTCTTGGGCATTTCTGAGTAGTTTCTACAGGCAGGTGTGCTGCGAAAGCTGGTATAACTCGGTGGTGTTGCAAATAGAACAGGCTGCAAAGCAGTTTTTGTTCTGCTGTATTTTGCAGTGAGACAAGTCCTGACTTTGAAAAATTTGCTCTGGCCATGCCCAGGCAGCATCAACATTTCAAATGCTAAAGCAGTGGGACTTGGAGGCAAATCCGTCGTGCAACAGGAGCCTGACGTGTCCGGATTCACCACACTCACATGCAGGGAATCCCACATGCCTGGGGGTATCAGAACTGCTAGTTGTGCTGAGCAGCTGGCATGTTTGCAGGGATCGTGGATCTCCATCCCGAGCCTGCTGGGATGCACGTGCATGGAGCTGGTTTTGCAGAGCCCAGGCTCCTCACGCAGGGTTTGTGGAGCCCTGGGTGTGGACYGTACCCCTACCAGGCTGCTGCTGAGAGCGGGACAGCACAGCTGGCAGATCTGCTGTGGTAGAGCTGCCTTGTGCCTTCCTTGTTCTCAAAGCTCTTCATGCACTGCAGGTCTGTGGGGCAACCCAAGGACCAGGGCGTTCAGGGAAGTCAGTAAATCCCCCTTGGGGAAGGGCGGTCGTGCAATCAAACCAGCACTGCTGGGTGTAGCAGGGTGGGAAGGAGGATACAGGTCTGGTTTGCAGGGTGAATTCGCCCTGCTTGCAGCAGCGGGACAGTCTGGTCCTGCGGTAGGAAGCCTGATGGAGATGAGCACATTGGGAATGAGCTGCAGAGACCCCAGGAAGGAAAAAAAAAGGAGTTAGCAGCCATAGGGCTACRCTAGACAACCCTGATGAGGTTGTCCTGCACAAGGTGCATCTCCGTGTGCCACGGACGACGTGGGTCACTGCTGGGCTTCTCGGCGGTGGTGCAGGATGTTGCTGGGTCTGGCGGGCACCCTGGGGACACGTCTCCCGTCGTGGCTCTGCTTCCTCGGCTGCTACTAGTCATATGACGGGGCCGTGGCTCCCGAGCGGCTTGTGAGCGGCGCATGGTCCTCGCCACACGTGGGCCGTTCCTGTCCGAGGGAGCCCAGATGTCTCAGCTCGGATTATTGTGGCAAATCTGCCCGGGATGTGATGGGTARTAACTGGCGTCACGCTGGCACCAGGCTCGTGCTCTGCTGCTGGGAGGATGCGTTGATGGTGTTTCCAAAGCAGCAAAATATCTGCACCTCAGCCCCGCTGTCCTGGTGCAGTGGGAAATTTGTAAACAAAGGGGCTGGGAGAAATCTAAACTGGCCATAAACAGCTCATTCCCTGAGTCATGAGACTCCAGAGGAAAACGTTTCAAAACAAACAACTCCCGAGGCTGAGAGCGTGTTATTATAGCTTCCCCTACTGCCCCCAGTCCAGGAAATCAGATATTGAATTCTTGAGGCTTATTTTGTGTCTCCGTGGGGTCTGTTGCACCTTCAGCACATGCAGACTCGTTCAGAAGAGGATGATGGCAGGGAATAAACGCAGGTTTCCTCTGCCGTGGCACTAGGGTGTCTGTCGGCAGATGTCCCTCAGTGGGTTGGATGCAGCAGGATGAACATGTGTGCTCTGGCCAGGCAGCTCATCCAAACCATTACGTCTCTGTATTCCCTTCCTCTATTTTATAAATACTTTTTTTTTTTCATGTTGTTTTTTCCTCCCTTTTGCACCCATCTGCCTTTTACTTGCAGACTATGTCATCTACTTCTTTATTTAGGGTTGTGCCAAAATAGCTCCTCAACCAAGCAGCAGTGCTTCCCTCAGAGACACCACCTTGTCCTCTGCAAAAATTGCTCCTTTGCTTCTTGCAAAGCTGCTTAGTTTTAATCTGCTGCATTCGCAACCTGGATGGCAACCCCAGGCTGTCATCCCTGTGACTGCGCTTCATTTCTGCTCTGGCAAAGAGAAAACTGCATTTATTAATTAAAATAAGAGGTTTAAGGTTAAAAGAGGCATTGGTAAATGCAATGATGAAACTAGCTCTGGATGTTTAGTTAGCAGCAGCATTTGATTGAAAGCAGCCTTGCTGCTTAATAGCATGATGGAGCCCAGGAAGATCCCAAACAGGATCTTTCCTAACATGATGCCATAAGGACAGGTCTTGTTCTAGCAGATTTATCACTTATCAGTCTCACTAAGCTCTACATCTTAATTCAGAGGAAGAGACAAGTCCAATACACTGTGATGGGTGGCAAAAATTTACTTAAAGAACGATACTGGAACAAACTTCACCCAAAGGCTCTGTTCTACAGAATAATCTTGCCCAAATGAAGGCTTCTTGAAGTGTTTTCGTGCTGTGTTTAGCATTATAATTTCCCCTTGGAAAAATATAATAAGGCATAATTTTCTCTCCAGGATTCTGAAAATTAGGTACCAAAGACTACAATTAAGCATGTACTCAATTAGGCTAGTTTGCCTCAGCAGCTGCTTTCCTGCTAACAATGAAAATGTTGGCCAGGATTTTGCAGAAATATTTTCCTGCGATGTTTACAGTCCTAAATTTCTCAGCTTTTGGCCAGTAYGTGGGAACTGGAAGTGGACTGGAAAATGCCATTAGAGAAGACACAATTGTTCCAGCAAGATGCAGCATCACAGATAAGCACCGTGCAGCAGAGACCAGCGGCTCTCACAGTGGGGATTAATTTGGCATAYGAAATGCTTTCAGTTTTAGTCACCAACTGAAATTACTTGGAAGACACAGACGGGGAAAAAAAAAGACCGCTAAGGGCTTCTTTGGGTCTGAAATAATTTGAATTTCCCCAAAGTTTGATTTCTGTATTAGCTGATTTAACCCATTCTGCAGAAGCAGGATATTCTGAGTCTTCAATATGTTTTCTGTATGATTTGATGCTTTCGCATCCTGGCATATTGGTAACAGCACAGGGAATGTTTATGGCAGGGARTCTATGTGGAAAGAGCCCCTGAGTGCAGGAATGAGGGCAGTTTTCTTGTCCCTAGCAGAATAGCTGGGGGGTGAGAATGCATCCGGACAAGGGGTAGTTGCTTGGTCATCACTGTGGGTGATCCTGGGGCTCTTGCAAACGCCACCCAGAGCCGCTGACCTCCTTCCCTTTCTCCAGGTTCGCCCTCTGTTCTACCTGAGCCTCTCGGACCTGCTCCTCAGCATGTGCTGGCTGGCGGGGGCGCTTCTCTCCAGCACGCCCACGTCCCAGCAGGATCTCGTCTGCTACAACCTGCAAGCGACGGGACAGGTGAGCAGCCATCGCGAGTCGAGCGGCTGCTCAGCCCTCAACTGCGGCACTTATCACCTCTGATAATCAGAGCAGGGCCACGGGCCGCCGTTTCCAGACAACCCGTGGCCAAGACTCCCTGTGGGAACCTGACTTATCAGGTCTCTTCACCTTAAGTGTAAAGCCGCGATAGCAGCGCTTGGTTTTTAGGTAGGTCCAGGTTGTGGGAGGCAATAAAGAAGGCAAACGGAGCATGGGATCTTGTGGTTGCAGTGCTTGGGCTGCTTGTGTAAAGTGAGGTGATGGGTCTTAATGTATTTCCTGTTGAACAAGTGCCAGGGATTATCTCCACATGTCCCGCGCTGCCGCTTTTCTATTCCTCTTAATGCTTCCTCCCTTCTGGACAGGAACAGACACGTTTTCCTACTCGCCTGAGCTCGGCCCTATGGATCTCTGATGTTACTCGTGTAAAGGGCCCTGTGGCTTGCAGTCCTACTGCTCTGGCCCTGTCTCCTCTCATGCAATTCCCGGGATGTTCACTGGTTGTCCATGCCACAGCAATTCAGTTGCCTTCCCGGACTTTGGGATGATTTCATGTGCTAGAGCCTAATTGAAGTGCAATGAGTGAGATCTCCTTTTCCTGATGGTTTACCTTCGTCTCTTGGGTTCCTATTCCATTCTTTAGGTTTTGCAAGTCAGTGCTCTCCAAAAGCTCTGCAGCCTGGCCTGGACCAGAGTCGTGGTTTGCAAGTGGTGATCTTTGGGATCGAGTTTCTTTTTAAAAGGGCCCACAAAAAAGCAACTGGGAAGCACAAGTGGTTTTCAGGAGCCTTCAGCTTCCTCATGTGGCCTGGGGTACCTCCTTGGGGAGCGTGATGGGACCCACAGAAAGCAGCTTTTGCTTTCCTGGCTTATCTCTGATTTCTCCAGCTGTCCTGTGCTTCTTYAGAAGCGATGCTACTTGTTTGCCTGGAATCAGGAGGCAGGAAGGGGTGTGTAATTTGGCTGCTCGGGAATGACACGGAGAGGTATCGGAGACCATTTCTAGATGGTAGCGGGGACAATAGGGACAGCTGAGGAGAGTCTTTGCAGAGCCTGGAAGGAGCCCACAGGACTGAGGGTGTTTCAGAGGCCTGTCAGGGCACTATGCCGGGTGTCACCACGTCCTCAGGTGGCCACAGGCTTGCTGGGCCCCTCTCCTGTGTACTGGCCAGGCTGGTGGCTGCTCCTGGCGGGAGGGSTGGCATCTGGCAAGGGTCCTTGCTGCTGTTTGCTCTGGGAGGAGTTAAAACAAATGGAGCACTTGCCATAGCAACTGCTGCCAGCCTGGCACATGTGACACAGCGCGGGACACTGTCCTGAACACCCTTGCGTGGTGGGAACACCTTGTGCGTAGGCAGGAGCTACTAACAGGTTTGACCAGCGCCTTCTGCACAGCACAAGTGATCTGTAACCAGCTGAGGTGAATAAACAGCCCCTGGCCCCATCCTGCCTGCGCTGAGCACAGAAGTCTTGCAGAGATTTCGTTCTTGGGAGTCTAATAATATGTGACCTGTTCACACAAAAACACCTAGAAGTATGGAAAAATGTACCACACAAGCGGGGTGGGCTCAGAACTGCGCAGCGGTGATGTTTATGGTTGGCAGCCCTTGGAAAAACCCGTGCAACCCTCTGTGTGATAGGGTTGTCTCGTGGAATTGCCATTAGGAGCAGGGCAAGAGGCTTGCACAGACTGCTCCCCATCCCTTTATCACCACGGGCTGAAGTTAACGCAGATGGAAGTCCCCTCGTATCCGTGCCTGCGTTGGGATTGGTTTGTTCCATGGACTTTCCTTGTTTCGGCCCGAGACTCTTGTTTGAAGTCATTGTAATAAATGTAAATAGTGCTTTCTTTTGCTGCCCCTCGACTTTGCCCTTCCCTCCTCCCTGCCTTGCCTCTGTGCAGCATTAAGCTCGGAGGAGCGATTCCATTATAATTCCGTGGTTCCCCCTGTCCTTCCAGCTCAGTTCCAGCAGCCACAGAGTGTCCTGGCAGGCTGCACTCGAGCCATCAAGGACAATGCAGGGCCCCTAATGAGGGGCTCACGTGTCCCCGGGCTTCATCCTCTCGTGCCGAGGGCTGCTCAGCTCTCTGCAGCCCCGAGCTGCTGCTCACAACTCTCTTCTCCTTTGGCCAGCAGCTTCTCAAGTGGCTTYTGGTTTCCCCTTCCAGAAGAGAAGGCAGAGCTGATGTTTTGTGAGCTCTCTGAGGTATTCTGAAGCACTCGAAAATTATCTTTGTGAAGTGTTTTGATGTCCCTCCGTGGAAATAACTGAGGAAGGGCAATGAACCCTCATTAAACCTCCTCTAATGAGCTACAGAGCCACYGTGATGGCAGCCCCTTGGTCTCAGCCTCGAGAAAAGCAGCCAAGAGAGCTGGCAATCTCAGTGAAGGAGACCAGGTTTCTTTATTTTGTGATTGCTTTCCTAGACTTACATGATACCAGGACAACAAATCTGTGCTTCCTTCCTTAGGCAGGGGACAGCAAATCAACAGAAAAATTTCCTTGTTCAGCCCTTCCTCTTTGCCCTGGCTGCTGAAACATGTGTTTCCTGTAAGAAACAAAACACACAGATATAATGAGTTGGCAGCAGCGTTTACACTGGCTGCCTGAAGCAGCCAGCGCTGGCCTTTCAGGAACAGATGGAAGAGAAATTTGTTCTGTCATAGGAGATTTCAAATATGTGGTCTCATCCTAAACTAGAATCCYAGGCCATGAAACTCACCATGAGGAAAATTTATATCTTTTTTTTTTTTCCTCCTGTTTTTCCCTTGAAGCAGAAAAGGGCACTAAGCACATGTGTTATCTTCCCTCACTTTCCTCTTTAAATGTGCTATTGTTTTCTGAGCCTGTGAGTTAACTGTGTAATGAGCCCATTAGGTGAGGAGCAAATCTAAGTGCAGCATTTGTTGCATTTCCTAATGAACGTAGCGTCAGGAGGGTCAAAGAGCCTTTGCAGCCTTTTGTATTGCAAGGTTTGTGGMCAAAAAGAGAGCCCAGTCAGGAGGACTTTGTTTGTAGGACTGTCCTGCTGTCATCAGCTCTTCCATCCCTGTATGCAGGGCAAAATGAGACTTCCTTTGAGCAGTTAAAGGAACTCAACTTCAACCCAACTTTTCCCAGTTCATGTCCCACTGCAATGGAGCAGACATGAGCAGAGGGGCTTGGGAAGGGGGCTGGTGCTGTGCCTGCACTGTGCAGGGAACCTCACCTTTGGAGGCCACTGGGGTGTTTCATATCCCATCCTTGGCCCCGAGCCTTCGTCTTCATCAGCTAATGGTGCTACAGAAACTCGTCCTAGGACTGAAATTCTGCCTGTTTGCATTTCTCAGATATTCTACGTGGCCTCTTTTCTGTACACTGTCAACTACACTTGGCATCTGTACGTGGACCTAAAGATGAAATACAATCAGAACCTTTACAGGACGTCTCCCCTGGTAAGTAGGACTCTTATACAGTAACTGTTGGGTACCAACGTCTAACTACGGTGTTGTGGCACTTTAGAGGTGCATACATTGCAGCAAGTCGTGCCACGAGGACTTGAAGGCCCTTCTGCTGTATGAATTTCACATGTCTTGCCCATGTCACTGAGCTAGCAGCAGAGTTAGGGCTAGGTCTGAAAGATTAGGTTTGCAATATCGAAACAGACAGGGGTGGAGACACTTCAGAGAACGTTCAAGACTAGGCACTGGTGAAGTGTTTCCACAATTGGAGGCAGAGCAGTTTGCACTAGTTGAGCACCTGGTTTGCTGCTGTCGTGGTCTCCTGCTAGTACATAGCAGAGGAATGAGTCTCTCAGAAGGGCAGGAAAGGAGGGGGGATCCGGACAAGCTGGAGCTGAGAACAGACAGTTTTTGCCTTCCCTTGACGTTATGCAGCTTTCAAGAGCATCTGTAATAGACTGTAAGAGTTTGAGATGGAAGGTGTGACAAAGTGAGCTAGCCATGAAATGACTGGCGAGTTCTGCAAACAAGGGCAGTCCTCGCTTCCTCATCACTGGCCTCTATAAAAGCCCTTTTATGAACTGGTGCAATCGCTGGGAACCGAGGAGCAAGGACACAGAAACACCCTTTGAGTTACAGGCTAAGCAAACACTTCACGTGCTGCGTGACCAAAATCTCTCCTTCATTGCTTCATTCCTCATACCTGGCTAAACACTGAGGCACCTTTTTTACTCTGTGAGCAGAATTGCTCCGAATGTGTTGCTGCCAGAGAGCAGGCTGTTTATATGCTTCATCTTAATGAAAACCCCATTCCTGCATGCAGCTTTTCTCTTCCTTGGTCATTTGCTGTGCACAGCATGCTTTGCATGCCCAGATATCTTATGTCTCCATGCAGGAGCAGCAAAATGGAGCTATCAGACCATATTTCTGGAACTCTTCTCTGTGAGACTTGAATTCATTTGTAGGACTGGTTTCTTTTTTGCTACATTCTCCTTCAAAATGCATCATCTACCACAAATTCTCCAGCACTACAGAAGTCAGACCTGATGTGTGGGTGCCAGCTGCCAAAGTACATTCCCAGTGCCCAGAGTCCAGGACTGTGAACCCTGCAGGGTTGATTTGGTAGAGAATGATTTGCCATGAATTCTACCTTGGAAAGCTCTTCTGAATTTTGCTTGTGTGGCCATGCAGAGGCAAAACAAACATTTGTATTTGGTGTGGGGATTAAGCAGCACTTGTCCAACTCTGAGCTGTTCAAAATGCTTTGTGGGAGCCATTTCCTGCACACCAATGTCTATGTTGAAATGATGATTTAATTAAGATCTTTGGACTTTGCAGGTTGTAGATTATGCGAGTTACATTGGCCGAGCAGCAACAATCTTGTCCAGGTAAGACTTAATTTCCCCTGGCAGAATGACACAGTTTTAGTAACCTAAAATGTCCTGATCTCTGCCCTCTACTTTGAAGCAAGTATTACTAAAACCTGTGTTCATCAACGACAGCCAGCAAACTCAGAGCCAAAGTCTAGGTGTGCAAGGGCTTTTCTCCATCCAGCATCGTTATAACTATATAGCTGCATATAGGTTTCCTAATACTGCTATCTTTAACAATTATTATTTCCAGCATGAATGCAAGTGCAGAAGTTAGGCTGTTAAAGGACTCTTCCTTAACAGTGTCAGTAAAAACAAGTGTAAAATACTGTATAGTGGCAGGAGAAAGAACAAGCAGTGTGTGGGGGTGCAGTAACTGTCCTGTTGTCCTCTCTCCTCCAAGCCTGATCCCTTTTCTTCTGATGGTGCCCGTGTTTTGCCTGGGGAACAGCAGCAATTGCTATCAGAACTTCAGCCAGAAGCACGGGTAAGCTGCGAGGCTCTCTGCGCCACAGCCCCGCTGCACTGAGCCACAGGAGGAGCTCAGTGTGTTCCCTTTCTCCCCTCAGATGCCTCCTGATGCACACAGAAATAGCTGTGCCCCCAAACGAGCTCCTAACGCTGAGTGGCTCTGTTTGCCATGTCATGTATTACTATGGCATTGGAGTCTTCCTCGTTTCCTTTCTGATCAGCTTCACAGCCATTCTGGTAAGCAACAATCCCCGTGAGAGGGAATTTTGCCCATTTTCCTCTTTGCATGGATCACAGATCTCTTTGCATGATGCTCAGCGGCCTCCACAGATTGCTTGATCCTGGTACCATGGCCAGTCAGTGTCAGGGGAAAAACTGTGTGGTGCTGCCYCTCTTTTGGAAGAGGGCGAAAATAGAAAATACGTATCACTATGCCACCATGTATATGCATCTGGAGTTCTGTATTTTCTCAGCCTACCCCAAAAAGGATTTAGCAAGCAGGAAAGGCTCAGAGAATGACAGCAGAGATCACCCAGTGCATGGGGAAGCTTCTGTGCAGCTAGAGACCAAATCAGTTAAGATYCCTCAGTTTGGAAAAGATTGAATGCAAAAAGATTGTGCCAGGAGCACACTGTGTGTGGCATGAAAAGGTCTGCAAGGCTGTAATGAAACCTTGGCTAAAAAAGCATGAGATACTCTCTACTAAATGAACAAATCAGATCAGAGCATGTGCATAAAATACAAACTCTATATGCTTATTCTTTCTAGGTTATCCTCGTTCAAGCCCGTGGTTTGTACAAAAGGTTTGTAAACTCCACAGGATTCTTGGGAGACCAACAGTGGGCAATGATTAAGGTGGTGGAGCAACGAGTGGTTTTCTACCCCATCGCGTTCTTCTGCTGCTGGGGCCCAGGTCAGCTGAATACTGAGTTACTTCCACAATATCCTTCTAAGACCTGATACATGACAATGAAACGTGAAATGCTCGGGGTTAAAGCAGTATCTTTCTGTCAATCCCTTTTCACAGCTGTTCTTCTTGGAATACTGAAGCTGATAGTTTCAGCAAGCAACAAAGTCTACATGGCTCTTTTTATTCTACAGGTAAAAGTCTGCAATCATGTATGCGTTGCCTTTGCTATTTGAGCAGTGATATTAATGTATGCTTGGTTCTAATCTCTTCTAGACAAGACCTATTTCTAGCCTCAAAGGTCACTGCAGTGTGAGCTTAAATCTGATTTGTACTTTGGTTGATAAATATCTTCTWAGTTGTTTCATGTTTTTCATAAGGCCACCATAACTTAAATCACAGTGTCAGAGAAATCACAGAAAACATGACCAGATGGGATCCCCCAAATTCAGTTATTTTGTTCCATTCCTATGAAGACTAAGTCTGCAAATGCARTTCCTCCCTGACACTGTCCATCTGCTTGATGTAACTGAGGAGGCTGCARTTAGCAGAGATGGTGAAAGTAACTGGGAGATTCCTGTAGCACGTGGGAATGCAGTTAGATAAAATCGTGCTGTAAGTGGAGGCCTGGCGTAACGTGTTGACAGGCTGTGTCGTGCGGCGCGGGCTGAGGAGACAGCCCTGATCTCCCCTGTGCTCTCCGCTAGGCCCTGACAGCGGCTTCCCAGGGGCTCCTGAACTGCCTCGTGTAYGGCTGGACGCAGCACGTCTTGCTGTCCCTCAAGCGCAGCGCCTGCCGCGATGTCGACACGCAGACCCCTCTCTTGCGCTCCCAGAAGAGGTTCTACGCCAGCACKCTCCCTGCCAGCCCCCCGGACACGGAGGTGCCCCCCACGTCCACCCTGCTGTGACAGGTTCCTGTGTGGCAAGAAGCTTGAGCAGCCTCCCAGTGGTGCCTTGTCTGGTTTCAGCAACAGCAGCCAGAAACGCTCCTGATTTCCTTGCTCTGAACTGTTTCATCATCAACAAAGGTAAATTTAATGAAGGAAAAGCCCGAGCAGATCTGTCAGAGACAGCTGCTTTTCAGGGTCGTTATTTATTTTTAGAGATTTGTATGGACTTTAAATAGATTCTATAAATGTGGTAAATCTTTAATACAGACTCTCTCCTTATGGAAGTACCACTAGAAATGCAGCAAATTGTATGTAACAGCTCTGAGGGCTGGTATGGCTCCTCAAGGTAGGTGGCTATATTTTACTGCTCTCTGTATGTCAGGTGTTTGCCATTACAACTTAACAGTAAAGAAAAGGTGAATATTTTTAAATCTATGACTTTTTATTTACTATAAAAAGGAAAAAAAAAAGTACATTACTAATTCCCAAATGCACAATGTAGCACAAAACAACCAAGAGCTCAGTTCCATGCTTCGACTTTTCACACATTTCACTTCTTCACATCAGCTTCTGCTCAGCGACAATATTAGGAAAAAAATGCTTATGTAACACAATGGAGCACCTCTCATGAGCCAGGTGAGCAGGACTTGCCATGAATCTGAAGTGAAGATTGAAGATGCTCAAGTGAGTTATTTACTAAGGCCTCACAATTCTTTACAGAATAAAGCACATCTTTAGCTGCAATGAAATGAACACAACTTTATCATTTTTATATTTTATTCTCTAATAGATTTACTTTTTAGGTCCAAACCAAATTTTATTTACATAGCAGGTAATACAGGAAGMGGAAACAGTCAAGTTTTGCACAATTAACTTTTATACAATGTACACAGTGACTYTGTGTATATCACTTTTTATGCATCTCCCGGGCCCAGCAGTCCAACTTCAGGGACATGCTGAGAGGGGCCTGCAGCTGAAGGATTTTCCCCTGCTTCATTTTCCTCCAACATTGTCATCTTTTTAGACACTCTGCTCCTCCCCTGCAGCAATCTTAGTTCCCTTTTAGGCCAGTCTTCTAACGCAGAACGCAACTATTGCCTTCTTGTATTTGATCACAACAGCGACGAGAGCGATCAGAGGGAGGACAACAGCAATGGAGACCCCTATTGCGGTCCCAAAAGCTTTGTTTTGGGCAACCTCGGAAAAGGAGATGGAGAGCGGGGGCGGCGGGCCGCTGTCCATGCTGCCTCCCAGCCCGTGGAACTGGCAGTCCGGAGGCGCCCAGCCAGCCTTGCAGTGGCAGTGCTCAAGGTTGTTGCAAACCCCTTTTCCGTGGCACAAAACCTTTGGATCGCAGTTTTTCCTGGTCGCGGCATCTTGGCATGTCTTGTTGACACAGATCTTCTGCGGACCGCATTTGGTGCCGTCGAGGCCTCCTCCGATGTCAGGTATGTCTAYCCCAGCGTGGAAGCCTGTGCCCCAGCACCAGCCCTGGGGCCCTGGTGTCTGAATGATGGTTTCAGGCCCCTGCAGGAAGGGTATTCTCTTTATGTTTGTGCACTGCAGCCTTCCACACAGAGCGTTTTGGGGTTTACACCCCACAAAAGCCAATGAGGTCCCATCGCCCCCGCAGTTGCCAAATCGATCCCCTTTCACGTTCAGYTTTTTGAAGCAGCTTTCTGGAGCACCCCGGGCTTTCTTCCCAAAGATCTTCCTGCACTGGTTGTCATGGGTGGCACATTTTCCCTGGTAGCAGGAGCCGTTGTCGCTGCACGGCGTCCCGTCGTGAACGTAGAAATCCACGGGGCACCACTCGGACGTCCCGTTGCAGTACTCGGGCAGGTCGCACTCGTCCGTCTCCGCCCTGCACTTGTGCCCCGCGGCGCGGAAGCGGCAGTTCTGGCAGCACTGCCCCGTGGAGCAGACGGCTCCTGGCTTCAGGCGGCAGTTTTGGTCGCAGCAGGGATCGTCTYGGCAGTCCAGCGGCCTCCCGCAGTCGCACTGCTCCCCCTCGTCTATCACCTTGTTGCCGCAGAGCTTGTAGTAGAAGAGTCTGTGAGGCTCCGGGACGTTGCGCAGGCAGTTGCCGTCTCCCCTCTGGAGCAGGTCGAGGAAGCTCTTAACGCTGCAGTTGCTGAAGGCCTTGCTGTCTTCCAGCGACTCGTCGGTCATGTAGCATTTAGTGGCCTTGCCGCACACACAGTCCTTTGCGTCGTGCTCCATCCCCAGATTGTGGCCCACCTCGTGGGCAAAAATAATGGTAAAGGTGACAAAGTCTCCTCGTATACGTGTCACGAGGCCTGTGTTATAACCAGGGTAGCAAATGCTGCCTACATACGCCAGCCCAACAACAAATCCAAAGTCCCTGTAGGTAAATAAATGCGTGAGGTCGTAACTCATCCTCCGCGAGAGATCCTGGCTCGCCCAAGTGTTGAAGTTGCCCAGGACGTACTCAATGTCCTGACTGTATCCGATGAGGTTGCTGTGGGTCCAGATCTCGATGCCRATGAGGCAGATGCGAACCTTGAGGGGGTAGTAGTACGTTTCCGACAAATTGATGGTGTCCACAACGAGGTGTACCACGGCGCTCTCGTTCTTCCCGTAGAAGGAGAACAGGTAGTGGTCGACCACCATGAATATCTCCACGTAGCTGGTGTGCTTCAGCCGCTGCAGGTAGTCCTGCGCGCTGAACTTGGCGCGAATGCCTTCCTGTTGCTGCAGCGTGGCTTGGGTCAAGCCACACGTCAGAGCCATGTCTGGGCTCTCCTCCCTGCGATACAGGAGGTGCTGGAAGGTGAGGGACCCCGGCACGGGCTCGATGCCGTAGCTGCGGTTGCCCACGCGCAGCTGCCCCCGCAGCCCTGTGCAGGTGCTGAGCGCCACCAGGGAGCCGGGGCGGCCTTCCACGTAGCCCTGGTAGTAGCACTCGGGCACGTGGGGCTGCTCCAGCAGCCGGTCCCCCGCGGGGCCGTAGGTGAAGACGGGCAGGTTGGGCAGCAGCAGCCCCCTCCTCCTCCTCAGGTGCACCACCCAGTTCTCCTCCTCCACCGCGATGGCGTAGGACGCCTCGCCCGCCACGGCGCGCCCTGCCCAGGGCCGCAGCTGCCGCGGCCGCACGATCTCGTAGGTGGCGTAGCCCCGCGGCGGGTGCCAGCCGGCGGCGCTGCGGTGGGCGCGAGCCGCCGAGGTGCCCATGGACACCCCCAGCGTGAGGAGCAAGGCCACCGTGCGCCACCTCATGTTCCCCTCCTTCAGCTTCAGGGCGGGCGGCGGGGGTCCTGCCACCCTCATGTGGGCGTCTCTGGGCTCTTGAGCCTCACTGGGAGCCGTGGGCGCCGCACCAAGGTACAYAGCACCCCGAAACGCATCTCCTCCGCCTTGGGAAGGTTCTAGAAGCGCCGCCTGGCTGCCATTTTGTGAGCGGCGCAGGCGCCGCCATGTTGAGGGCACAGGCTGCGGCATGGCGGCCGAGGAGCCCCTCAGTGACAGGGATGGAGACAGCCGGCCCCACGGCACAGCCCGGGGAGCCCAGCCCGCCCTCCAGAGAGGCTCCCCTGCCTTCCAGGGCACTGCAGTGCCCATATATCCTTACCCACCCCATTCCTCCGCCCTAGCTCATGCCCAGGGCGTTTGCTCCAGCCCAGCACTGGAGCAACCATCCAAGCAGATAACAACCTATCTTTATTCTTGCTCTCAAAACAATTCCTTTATACTACATCAAAGGATCTCAGCTACTTTTTTATTATTTTTATTTATTTATTTTTTTCATAATGCAGGCCTCAGAACCCTTTCCGCCCTCCTGCGGGGTCTGAGGTTTGCACCATCTATTCCTGTCCGTGTGCGGTGGAGGAAGGAGATGCTTGTGGGCCCCAGGATGAGTTTGAAGGCAGCTGGGTGCTGAGCAGGAGGCGGCTCCGATAGGCAGAGCTCTATGGATAATGTGGATGGTCTGAAGAGGGATATGAATATATGGGTATGCATAATATGGATGGCCTGAAGCCCTTCCGATGAGATATCAAGGATGCCGCAGGATCCAGGAGCTCTTGGGGCCTGCCTGGTGAGTGGGGAGAGTCCTCCCTGCTGCAGACCCCGCTGGGCTGCCCAGGCTGCCTTCCTTCTCCTCCCGTGTCAATGCAAAGCCTTTAGGATGGTGTCCAGTTAACCTTGTCACTGCAGTCAGTGAGGTTTTTCTTTTCCTGCAGAGGTCATTCAAAACAATTTCATTTTGCTGTTCCACACCTAGCTGTCSCCAGGCATTCAAATCAATGTAAGGTGAATCCGCTACACCTGGGAGGTTGCAGCTGGCGACTGCCTGAGTGCGGCCTCCGCTCCGCTGCCGGGCGCCTCCCCCGCACCAGCGCCTCGACTCTCCTCTGCTCCAGCACCATCTCCTTCCTGCGGCTCCTGCCCGTCCTCTGTGCGCGGCTGCTCTCTCGACGGGAAGCATTTGGCGAGGCTGCTTAATGCTTGGGCTCTTCTAAACGCTTTCACGAGCAAAACACTGCAGGCTGCAAGTACCAGGAGACTGACAACAGTTACTACTATAGTAGCCGCAATCAACCTGAAGAGCCCCTTTTTGGTGACGGGTGCGGGCCCGCTGTCGATGCTCCCTCCAAAGCCAGCGAACTTGCAGTACGGGGGTGCCCAGCCGTCATCGCAGTGGCAGTTCCCTTTGGTGTTGCAAACCCCGTTCCCTCTGCATGTCTTCTCAGCAGAGCAGCGGGACGTCAGGTGCTTGGCCTCAGGGACGCATGTGCGGTTAATGCAGAGCTTCTTCTCGCCGCACGGCATGCCGTCCTCCACCACGCCGGCGTCCAGAACGTCCAGCCCCAGGTGGTAGTCTGTGCCCCAGCACCACGTGTTGCCCACCGGCGTCTGGATGATGGTTGTGTGCTCTTGCAGCCAGGGGATGCGCCTGATGTTTGTACACTGCATCCTCCCGCACAGGACGTTTTCTAGCTCGCATTTCTCAAATTTGCCGTCTGAGCCGCTCCCCCAGCAGTTGCCAAACCGATCCCCTTTTGTGTTCACCTCCTTGAAACATTTAAACGGAGCAGGTCTTGTCTCTTTGCCAAAAATCCTAATGCACAGCAGCGTGTGAGACTGGCACTTGCCTGCATAACAGTGCCCATCCTCAGCGCACTCGGTTCCRTCCTGCATGGTCATGTCTGGAGGACAATGTTCCGAATTCCCACTGCAATATTCCGGCAGGTCGCAGGGACCAGTGCTCTCCCGACACACTTCTCCTTCGGGCAGAGGCCTGCAGTTCCGACAGCAGCCTCCCGAAGTGCAGAGGGCTCCCTGTTTTTTCCGACAGGTGCTATCGCAGCATGGGTCCAGCCTGCAGCGCGCCGCGGAGCCGCAGTCGCACTGCTCGCCGGGCTCCACGATGCCGTTCCCGCAGCGCTGCGGAAGGAACGGCATCACTGACTGCGGCGYGTTGCTCAGGCAAGACCCTTTCCCCGTCGCTATGAAATCGAAGTAGTACTGGGTGCTGCAGTTGCTGAACTGATAGTTGGCGATGCTGTGYGCGTTCATGATGCACTTGGTGGTGTTGCCGCACTGGCAGTATTTGCCGTCGTGCTCCATGCCAAAAACGTGCCCCAGCTCRTGGGCGATGTGCGCGGCCGTTTGCAGAGAGGGCAGTTTTGCAAAGGACACCACAGCAGAGGCGCGTTGTTTGTCACACACAGCGCCGAAGTTGGACTGGCCGCCCAGGTGCAAGGTTTTTGTGTCCTGGCTGAACTCCAGCGTGGCGAACAGGCACCCCACGTCATACGCAGGGTGCGCGAGGCTCTTCTGCTTCCGCCAGTAGTTGAAATTATGGAGAACCCCCGTTATGTTTTTGGAGATACTGATAGGGTTCTTCTCCGTCCAGACTTCCAGCGCAGTTATTAAAACACGCAGGCGGAAAGGGTAAAACATCCCATCCACCAGGTTGATTATTTCCACAACTTCCAGCACCACGTTGGTGATATTTTTACCAAAGGCCTCAAACCCCTCCTTGTCCACCACGACCAGCAGCTCCAGGTAACGCGTGTGCCCCCAGGGCTGGAACTGCCTGCTGGCCGCCGCGGCACCCGCCGCTGGCCACCCCGCCAAGGGCTCTTTGCACAGGATGGCTCCGGCAGCCACCTCCTCCGTCTGCAGCAGCAGGTGCTCGAACGTGGAGGAGCCAGCCAGGGGCTCGATGCTGTAGCTCAGGTTGCCGAGGAGCAGCAGCCCCCTGAGCCCRTTGCAGGCGCTCAGCGTCACGGCGGAGCCGGGGCTGCCGTCCACGTAGCCCTGGTAGTAGCAGTGGGCCGCCAGCCGCGGCTGCTGGGCCAGCACGGCGCCCTGCGCGTTGCGGGTGAATACCGGCAGGTTTTGTACCACGAAGTCCTTCTTCTGCCGGAGGGTCACGGTGTAATCCGTGCCCTGGATGTTGATGGCGTAGGACACCCTGTCCTGGCTGGGCTGGCCTGCCCTGGGGCTGATTTTCCGGGGCACCACGATGTCGTAGGCCGCGTAGCCGCAGGCGGGCTGCGCGCCGCAGAGCAGCGCCAGCCCCACGAGAGCCCCRGGGAGGCCAAGGCGGAGGAGCCGCGTCGCGACGCCGTCCGCCTGGCCCCAGCACGCGGCTGCCACCATGGCTCCCGCCTCCGCGCTGCGGGAGCGAGAGGAGCCTGCGCTCGGACACACGGACAAGCCGCTGTTGGCTCAGCAAGAGAGAGCCCAACCGATCCCGGACACCTTCCCTCCTGCGGCCCCCCGGCCYGTCTCCTGCTCGGCCCRCTCAGCTCCAGCTCCCTTTGCCCAAGGCRCCGCRGCCCGGCCTCCCTCGGCTCCCCGTCCACCAGGTAAGGCACCGGTCGGCAGGGCAGCGCGGCACGGGAGGCGGTGGGGAGCAATGGGGTGCCCACTCGGCCACCGAGGTGGCCGTTTCTGCCGCTCCGCTTTGAACACAAACGTTCCGGGCGGTTCCACGCGACCCGCGGCCTCCCCGTGCGGCCCTGGCCTCCCCTGCCCGCTGCTGCATCTGCTCCCATGTCAGTACAGCCCCAGTAATTTGTCTGAAAGGGGATTTTGCTTTTCTAAGTGGAAAGCCATAGGAGATTACAGGGAAAATAATAAGGCTGGGGTTGCTAATGGGACTTCTGGCTGCAGTGGTGAGAGCTTCAGCAGCTGGTGACAGATGCGCTCGGAAGGCACAGGGCGCCCCAGGTCACCAAAGGCTTAAGCCTTTTATGGGGAATGTTCCTCTCTTTGGAGAGGCACTTTGGGCCCTGTAGCCACCTTTGGGGACAGGGGAGCAGCTTTTCTTTCATCACATTTCTGCAGCACTTGCTAGGAGCATCGTGGGTTGTATGGCTTCCTTAAATGTGCCTCGGGAATGCCTTGGGATGCTCCCCAACACTCCCGACCACAGCACATTGGGTCGCTATCAAAAAGTCCAACTAAGCAGGGGGTGGGAGCAGGAAGCAGGGTCCAGAASAGGATCAGCCGAGCGCCAGCGCAGGGGACTTATCTGCCCACAGAGCAGTTCAATGCCCTCCACTCCCTGCTCTTAAAAAGGTGCAGTTCCAGCAATCACCTATAGACCGTATGGGGTTAACGCGTCGCACTGGGCGCAAACTACTGCCAKCTAACGGAGGGCAGCGAGTGAAGGAGGCGCTTGGGGTTGGGTCCCCGCGYTTGCTGCAACCCAGCTCGCACATCCTTGTCACCACAAAGCCCTCTACAAGGGCAAAGCCGCTCCTGGCACTCGCTCGACGTCTGCATCCACAGTGCACAGGAGGCAGGACCTGGCCTGAGAAGGGTGGTGGCATGAGGAAAGTGCTGCCACCAGTGTCCCCAGGGCCACCCCTGTCCTTCCCCTTCTGCGCGGAAGGGACTTGGACACCCAACAGAAGACACCAGTAACTTTTGAGTTTAGTAAAATCGTTTATATACACTGATGCATAATATTTACATTATAATACTGATCCAAAATGAACTAACATAGTACAGTCAACACTGAAAAGGAGAAATGAAAACATTTTAATACACAGAAGTTAACCGTGGCAGATGAGGACAGACTCAGATTTCCAAAAGAAAAACCTGAAGTGATGACAGCAAAACTTTGACATGTTGCTATTTCCAATCAAAAACTCTTTCTCCTAGTCAAGTCCTTCTATCTTTTTTAAATATATATATAGCTGAAAATAATCAAGTCACAGGWAAAGTCAGATATACATAAAATTTTGAAAAGGTCAAATGATTTCAAATATTTCTCTTAAATAAAATTMAAAAAAAAAAAAAAAACCCTACCTATTTTTCCCATATCCTTTTAGTGTTTTTACAAAGAATTTCTTCTTTGATCCCACATGACCCATCTCAAGATATTTACAATATTCACAGTCTGCTATAAAGGATCAGTAGATTTATTACCAAGTCAAACATTTCATAATCAAGACAAGCTACCTTCACTACGTCAACTGAAAAATAATAATAATAATAATAATAATATTAAAAATACACAGGGAAGAGAAAGTAAAATATAACTTTAAAATAGGTAGAGTATTTAATTTTGAAATCTAAAATGTAACTTAAAGTTGTTACAATCAACTTCCTCACACAAATAAAACCATTTGACCTTGAAGCGTCAAATTGTCATTTCTTCATCTGTCCCTCCCTGCCTCCGTTTCAGATCAGGCCATATTCACTTATCACAGACAATAAAAAMCAATAGTCCACACATAAAAAGCAGTTCCTCGTCACAAAAACCCTCGGAATTGATGACTTCCCTCCAAGACACCAGAACACTTTACAGTCCATCACACAGGTACCCACTGCACTATTAGTGACCTCTTGGGAACTGTTCCAAAGCGCTTTTGTGGGAAACTTTCTGCTCAAAGAAAGGTGATTTTTTCATTTATCCCTCTTCTTGCCGTTCTTGAAAGTTCCAATGCAATGAGATGTCCCACAGAAAAATGCTGATTTCAAAGAAAATTATAAACGTGTAAAGATGGTGTGAACATTCTAGATGATGTAGAATTGAGGGCAAGGATGGAAAAGAATAAGGCCTGCAAACCTGTCAATACTACCAAGAATCAACAACTGCTCGTGATTCCTCAGTCCTGCAGAGATGCCCTAATTTGAAGTCACCTCTTCTGAGGAAGAGGGCAGTTATTTCCCAGGTTAATTCTGTCCTGCAGACCAAGGACTTGGAAGTTCTTTTCAAGCTGTACTGTCTAGTAGGGTAGGAGAGCTGGGAGCCAAAAGTTCRCTTTTCCCCCCAGAATAATGTTTCTGGTACAAAGTTCTAGTTCTTGATAGCTCATTACTGCTGTCATTGATACAAGTCAGTGCACAAACACTCCATGTAGTGTTAGAGGTACAACTCTGGCTTTTGCAAAAACTCCCTGTTTCCATCAGAGAAAATGATGGTTAAAGAGGGACTGTGGTTCTTGCCACATCATAATCAACCATTGGAAAACAGGATTAAAATGAAAACTCACAAGGTGCTGACAAAGAATGGGAAAAGAAGCATCTCCTTCGTGTAGAAAAACTAAGTTACTGCTTACAAAATTTTATAGAAAGAGTCAGACACTGGTTTGCCATCCAAGCTAAAGATTACAAGAAAAAAAAGACAAAAAAAGAACAAGGCTGGACTGTCAGATGAGTAAACTGGGAGGTTCATGGCTCAGGCTTGTAAATGTAAACCCAAAATTTAACGAGCTATGAAATATAACAATAATGTTCAAGAGTCATTACTAATAGCCCTGAATTGGCACTTCAGTCTGCAGACCAGACTCATTCAACGTCTGCACAGGTTTAGTACCAAAATATCTCTATAAAAAGCCTTCGACCAGTCTTAAAAGAAAGAAAAGTGTCAGAAGGTAGAAAACTAGAAATATGTACAGATTCTTTTCATTTGTTTAATTAAAAAGCAGCTTCTGGAGCCAATGTTTCAGACTAGTGTAAGAATCTGCCCTGGGCGGCCTCAAGGTCCAGGCCCTGAGGACATGTGTCAAGGAGCAGCCCCTGCATTGCTCGCTCCAAAGGGAGCTCAAAGGCATCGAAGACGTGGGGAGCCTGGATTCCAGAGTGACACAAGAGAAGGATCACTGGTGGATTCGCACAGCAGCACGATGACCCTTGCCAGGATGACCTCCTTCAATTCAAGAGGTCAAGTTTTAACCAAGTTTTGGATCTTGTAGAGAGGAAAGAATAGAGCACGTGGGTGGAAAACACACAACTTCTCACCTGGGGACAAAAGCCCCCATGTGCTGTTGTCTGCAGAAGATCCCACCGTGAAAATAAAGATAACTTGTAGAAGTAACTAGAACATTCTTCTATGCCACTTTTGAACAAGATAAGAAGAGTCCTACGCTGAATGGCCATTCAGCCTTGAAGAAGGTCAGAGGATGATGAGTTACAGAAGAAAGTGGGCTACTGGTCAGAACTGAAAATACAGCAACCACGTGGACTTGGGTGCCCCCTGCAAGGGCAATGCAGCTCTGGGGTCATCTAGCAAGACAGAAGAGTATTTTGTTGCCTCTACAAAGGCTCAGAATTTAGGTACGAAGGGTAGCTATGAAGTTTGTGTTTCACAGCACTTGCTTCAAGTACTTACTGAGCAGGGTGTTGAGAAACTGTGGCTGTCTCATTCCCATACATAGTCATTGCAGCTGGCTGTATGTATAGCAGATGGAAGGCAGCTTCTGCAACTGGTTATTAAGAAAAGAAATGGTCTTTAACAATATAATTTGCCCCAGCTGGGGGACTCATGATTAACAGTACATAAGTGATCATATATACCTCAAGGAACTGAGTTTTAAAAAAATATTACAGTACCAATGATTTTTTTTTTATCTACAACTATACAGCATTTTCAAGCAGTATGGAAATTTAATGAAATAATTATGATTTATTAATTTACATAAAAATACTTTTTACAGTTAAAGAATAAATCTTAAATGGTAAAAAAAATAAGATTAAGAAGCTCCAGCTATTGAGAGTCATGGGAGTTTGTCTGCTCTTCAATAACTTGTTTTACTATTTCTGCCAGTTTTAGTCGATCCACTTTATCTGTGAATCCTCTGCCTGAAAGGAAAAGCACAGGTTGTCAGCTGGCGCTGGCCACAAGCAAGAAAGCAATCACGGCTACAATCATATACTGACTGAACACAAAATAATGCCTCATATTGAAATTTAGGACATTTGCAAGGACCCCAAARTAAGTTATGACCTCAAGTAAGGGGAGAGACATGGGTGAGCCCTTGAGAACTTAGCTGATGCCAGCAGTCACCTTCTGCTCATCACCATCCTCTCCTGAGGCTGATGCACGTGCAGCCCTGCCTTGCCAGGGAGCCACCTGAGCACGCAGTCCATGTCACCCCCAGGTGGGCCGGGCTATTTTAAGTCTCTTCCCTCTCCAAATTGGGCAGAAGAGATTTTGTGCTGACAGAGGTGAGGCTGCTCGTGCTATCTGCTGAAACAGCTCGGCTGCAAGGGCAGCAGCCACCAGTAGAATGAGAATTAAAAAGCAGCCAGAGGAAACAGGCTCTGAACTGCTGTAGCAGTTTCTGAAATGATCATCTGTCTATGGTCTTGAGTTCGTAAGTGACTTTATCTTTGAAAACTCTATTCTAAATGTCAAACACAAGTTYTCAAGTAGGACTTTCAACTTCATTTACAGAATACCCCAACACAGGGGCCCAAAAGTGTTAAAATCTACATCTTTGTGGCATAAAGTCAAGCAGCTCTTTTACTTCCATCTAAGCTCACYGCTTGCCCTCCTTCAGCCAGCCCAGCAGTGCTCTGCAGGGACGGATGCAGCCCCTTACCATTCCAGCTGAAGCTCTGCAGAGTGTCCCGCAGCAACTTACACTCTCGATTATACTTCCAGGCCTCCTGCATGACTTCATTCAGCTTCTCATCTTCATTCTCTCCTGTTTAGGGGAACAAAGATAAACAAGAGGTTTGTGTCATTGCTCTCCACGACATTCAGAGCTTCAGTAAACAGGACGTGCAGTTATTCCACCCTGTCTCACATGAACTAGAAAACTGGTTTGAGAGCAAACACTCCTGCCTGAAAGTCATTTCAACAGCTCTGCATGTGACAACACTAGTATCATGCACGCACCAAAATTCCAGTCCACAGAGAAGAGTTTCCCCTTATAACAACAGAATATTTGTTTATCCTTTCTCACTATTAATACAGACTTATCTTGAGGCACAACAAAAAGCCAGTGCCATGAATGTTTAGGAATGTAACTTTCTTAAAAGTGGCAACCTTTACCAGCCTGTGGTAGAATGCACTGCGCAATCACATCCCGGAGCTTTTCCAGAGCCACGTTGGAATCGTTGCTTCCATTCTCAGGGTCGTGGATATAAACACCGTCCTTGGGCTTGGTGCTGCRACAGAACAAGGAGGAAACAACAACAATCTGAATGTCACTCCACTTCAGTCAGGACTTAACTCTGTTGCTCATTGCATAACTGAGCCAGTAGAGCACACTCTTAGACTGGCTGAAAAGCAAGCCAGATTTAGGATTAATTATTACAATTGCCTGCATTATGAGACCACTTGAAATAAGAAAATGTTTCTTTAAATTAATTCAAGCAATCCTAGAATGCATCATCATATTTTCCAGACAGGCAACTCAAGCAAAAGAGWGATTACCTGACCTTTCGAGTAAAGGGCAGGATTAGAACAAAATCTTGGAAGTCTTTTTCCCAGTTCTCTCTACCTTACTCCACGTATGACCCATCTTCTCATACCAGCTCTGCTCCACTCTTTATAGTGTATTAACAGCTCCATCTCCCTTCTGCCTTTGCTGTGCCAGAAAACACAGCATATTGTGCAAGTATTACTCAGCTGATAAGTATCCAYATCAGCAGGAAACTAAGTGTGTCAACCACATGGGAAGGTCAGGAGCATGGTTACAAGAACAACCTGTAGCAGGGCTTACAGCCATTCTCCAGGCATCAGAGCTGCCAACATTTTGACCATTTTATTTCCCTCTTTCAAAAAGAGCCTTGGAGAGTTACCCCAGTAATTTCCTTTTGCGCAGGATTGGGTTGTTGACGGAGTGAAGGGGCTTGAGGCTGACTTTGAGGTCTTGGATTCTCATGTTCGCAAGCTGTTCCGCATGCGCCTGTTGTATCCCTGCAACCATTGCCTGGAAGGGGAAAGTCGGGCTTGAAGAAGGTGACAAGACTCAGAGAGAAATCCTCAGTTATGTCTACTGCCATATTCTACTCTCCCCTTGTTAACACACAGTGCTGCTCTTTAGCACCTCTCTCCATCTCATCAAAGCCCAAATTTCAAATGGAACTGCTCTCATTTGCATACAAAAGTCTCAGGCTTTCACTGAGGCAGAAAGGGAGGGTTTTTTTCTGCATAACACTAAGGAAACACTTAGGCCCCCCAGAGCTATCCAGCATCCCAGTGCAACATTCTTGATAAAATCCAACAGTGTTTAGACCTTGTCCATCATGAGCTGGGCRGAGGGTAGGATGTTGTCTAGTGCCTCGGTGGAGTTGAGCCAGGGATGGTCCAGGACACCTTCAATGGTCAGACGTTCCTCAGGTTTGACCTTCAGCAGCCTGGGTGAGGAATGAAGCAGTCCATAAAGAGCCCCCTGCTCAGGGCTTCCATGCAATGATCTGCTGCTCTGTCTGGGATCAGAACACTTTGCAACCTCTAAACATTAGAGAAGTCCAACAAAAGAGACCACATCTGAGGTAAAACACTAAGCTGACCCCAAAGCAGGCTGACTTTCCACCAGTCATTTTACCTCAGGAAATTCATATCTAGAGCTCATCTGCTAACAGTCCATACTCAGATCGCGGACTCTGGCCATGGAGAAGTACAGCAAAGTCTCAAGGATGGAAAGCTGCTTTCTGCATTAGCTGCTTCCAACATGCAGTTGTTTCGCTTTATTCCCTCTGCCAAAGGCTCTACTAACGAACAAATTAAGGGGCTACAAGACTTCAAAAAAATAATAATAAAAAACCCCACTCTGCTCTGAGATCTCTGAAAAAAAATGAGGAATTTGGTTTTACTAGGAAAAAAGAAATCACTGGAAAGAGGTTTTGCAGATAAACCTCATGTTTTCATGATAATCACAACCACGATTAACTATCAAAAAGAAGAATTTCAGACTGAATGCTAACAAGTGAACTCAAGAAATTGCACTAGAAACAAAATGACTTGATGACTGTCATACTTTCCTAGACTAGGCTCTAAACCGCCTCCCTGGCTGCACAACATAATTGTTCAATGTATTGAGAAAGTAGGAAAAAAAGTTACAAAACATCAGGAGGACCATTGGCTAGCTCATAAGTTTCACTTGGAAGGCCATGCAGCAAGCAGGCCTCCAGTCCAGTTTTAATACAAGCCATGCACTCCTTTCCTGTCATTTTTCAGAGTTCTAATCTCTCCCTCAAGCACTGCAATTTGTGAAGTCTGAGGTCACGAATCAGTCAGGCCGACATGCTTGAAAGGAAGCAGCCACTTGAATGCAGAATACAACCCGCACAAGCAAGACCTCACACGAATAGCAGTCAACCTAAATAAGATCTAACCTTCTGCAAAGTTACAAAAAGGCTCAAAGCATTCCTGCATCATAAAAACAGACTCAGATGCACTGGCTGGAAAGGACAGAAAAGCAGAAGCAGAGTCCTGAGAGCACTATTAAGAGAATTACATGAAGTCAAGTGAATCCAAGTAGCAACGCCGTGTGAACGGAGTTTTATTTTAAAAGACAATGAAATCTTTGGACTGTGAAGCTTCTGTATGGGAAGAGCTGACCTTGGCACGAATAGAAGTTTCACTACAACATAATCTGCAGCTTACTCGGTGAGAGTTTCTGGCTCACTCTCCTGCACTGCTCTAGCAGGACCCTGCACCCTTTCCAAAAAAGGTTCTTTTAAGTCTTTGGAGGCTTCGCAGAACCTCAAAGGACACAGTACCTGTTAAAAATTGTTTATCAGATTGATTTTTTTTTCTATTTATGGTGCTCRTACGTGTTGCTTGTACTTCATGCTGAATATGACAAACTCAGCTGCATGTGCTGCAGGCCATTCCCTCACCTTGGGAAACGGAGCCCTGTGCGGTAAAGCATCTTCAAATGATTTCCCAATTTCTTAGTTTAAGTAAAGAGCAGTACAACATTTTCTGCATCTGACTCACTTTCGCACAATGTCTTTCGCCATTTCCGAGATCTGGCTCCACTCTTCCTCTGGAAATTCAAAGCTTCCCGTCATGATCTTCTTCCGCATGTCCTTTGGAATCGTCCGGCTGTGGTGCTTGGAGTAGAACGGCGGGTATCCGCACAGCATCACGTAGATAATGACCCCCAGGGACCACAGGTCACAGCTCTGAAAACAAGCAGATCACCACGTCAGGGGACAGTTTGCAGCATTCAGTCCCTCGAAGGCAACACTTACCTTCCTGAGAGAGATACTTGGATCAGCTCAGACTGATCTCGAGTGGCACCCTTGGCTTTTACAAACATGTGGTGCTGCCCACAAAGAAACCCCGTGGCGTTACCCCACACATGCAGGCTTTTGAGTAGGTGTTCAAGCAAACCCCGATGGATGTACAAGTCAAATTTCTATTTAAACAGCTAAACTCTCATCACTTCTCCAGTGACTACAGTTAGTTTCTACAGAAATCAGTGAGATTTTAAGCATACAGATAGGAATTAGGTGTTAAAAGTCCTCATGAATACGGTTTTTGGCCTCTAATTTTCAAGGGTCTAATTTATACTTAAAACCCCCTCTGACCACAACATACATGCACGTATCTGATCCAGTACACCTACAGTTTAACATCAAGAAGTCAGAAGAACTCAAGAGGACAGAAGTGGTTTTTTTTCTCCAGTGTAAATGTGTGGGAAAGAGCTGTTGATCATGAAGGTGGATGATGGGCATTTCCAGGGAGAGGCCAAAACGCTGTGGACAGACAGTTTACCTAGGAGTTTGCTAGAGTCTATTTCAGGGAATTAGGCATATGCCAGACACTGCTTTTGCAGTGAGTCACACTTGGCAAGGTGAGGATGAGGCTGCTTTCATTCAGCAGCATTTCCAGCTAGAGCAGCCACGGGCAAAAGCAGTTCAGAGTGAATTGAGCAATTCTTTAGGTGATTCTGTCCCATGTGAAAACAAAATCACTGCATGACCTCGCAAACCTCAGGTGAAGGCAGCTGAATACACCAAGGGGAAACATGTTGGTGTTAACCTTGCCAGTATGTGAGTAAACCCCAGCTGACAGCAGAGGAGGATTCCTCTGGACCTGTCTCTTCTGGAGGCAATTTGAGCAGAAACCCTCCTCAAAGTCTTGGTGATATCTGATGGTCCCGCTAAAAGCATTTGCAAATCTCTCCTTTAATTAGAGGATCGCTAATTAGAYAGTAGCACCATTTGACATAGTTTTCTCAGGCAGTTTAGAAGAAATATCTGCAGAAATTAGTCTCAGTTTAAGTCAATTGAACAAAACCTGGTCTGGTCCTAACAAACTTAACAACAGCAACCAGGCACATGCTGCATTTCTGTAACATCTTTATGGTAGCAGAATGAAACTCACTTATGAGAAATGCAGAGCCAAGGTTATTACTTCCTTCTTGCTGGAAACACACGTGCATATATAATAGTGAGTTAAAGGGATACATTTCCCTACGGTTTCTGGTAGATCTYGCTTCTTACTCAGCATGAGGTGTTTGGATAGTTAGATGCATTTCTGAACAATGCAATTAAAACAACTGGCTGCAAGTGATTTTAAGGCAATAAAAGCTTATTGCTTTAGGCATTAAGCTGTGTCTGCAGACAACTTCTGTACACGGAGTATATACAGGCATATATACCGAGGGAGCATGGGGTGATGGTAAAGACACTTTACTCAAAATATGTTGACATGTGGACTAATTCCTAGCTTACCTTGTTATAAGTATAAGGAGTTGGAGAGGTGGGGATAATACCAGACTTTTCTTTCTGATGCCGTCTCTGTGCCTCCAATACCTATTACCACAAGAGGGGGAAAAAGGAAGAATCTTAAGAAAACTGCAAAATACATCTAGGCACAACAGCAGTGTCTATACTAAAGGTGCCTGATGCTCTACAGTTAGGTAGAATTACACCAGCTACTGAAGACTCTGCCAAACTGAAACTATCCTCTATTTTTTTCTGAGACACAAACATTTTACACAGAGGAAAATTCAGCTACAATATTTAACTTTTTTGGAKGAACTCTACTTTTGCCTGAATTAAAGCAACTGCTCATGCCTGTTTTCTAGAAAAGCTCCAATAGTTCCCTGCTCAGGGACTAAAATTTAAAGTGTGCTTGGAGGGTAATCCTAGCTCCTTTTTACCCCTCCCAAGAAAGCCTGCTCAAATCTATAGCAAATTTCTCCAAAATGCTCTGCTTAAATATACTCAGGGAATAAAAACCAAGAGTGTGGCAGTTCACTTGCTTTAAAAAACCTGCCTGCATGGCAGACTTCAGTGGATGGAGTGGTTGTGCATGGGTCAAACTTGCCTGTGGCTGCAAGGTCTGACGTCTGCAATCGCTCTTGCTAGTCATTAAAGGCCGCCAGAGTGCCCAGGACCACAATTAAGTGGTGGTCCCTGCTATTTTCTTAAGCTTTCTTCAGGACTTGAACACAAAGAACAAAGGAAAGAGCGAGGAAAGCAGCACTACAAAAAGCAGCCTGTCTGTCTGTAATTGTAGATTATGTCTTAACACATAGTGACAAGGGGGCCAAGTCAAGGCAAACGGGTAACCCCCTGGCACTGCCCCATTTGCAAGCAAGTGCTTTTACAGAACCTCATTGTTTCAGCATAGTTCTGGTGAAGGTAATCTCACACAAGCCTGAGCTGGAAGGATTGTGAAGCAGGGACTTCTACAAACCAACCCGTTTAACGCGGCCACGGACCAGCTCTCAAAATMTGCAGGACTCTCACTGGACAGTCAGGAGGCATCAGCAACAAGGCAGCACTAGGAACACAACCCAGGAATTTTGCCTCGCAAATACCCTGCTGYGACCAGTAGATCACAGCAGCACTTGATGTTGGAAGGCAGCTACCTACACTGTGCACTTACTGGGGACTCCTGCATCATAACCTCCCACTAGGGCAGCAGGTGCTTTTCAAATGAGATGCCTTTGAAGGCAGAGGCGATAAGGATCACTACTGCTCTATAATCGAGAAGTGAAATTATTCTTTACCTGAGGTGCTACATAATACGGAGTGAACTGTGGTGTCATCAAGTCACCTTGGTCTATTTTGGCAAATCCAAAGTCACATAATTTAACAGGTGCGTCCTAAAACAGAGAGGAGAGGTTTCATTATGAAATCTTATTGCAGCTGCTTTTCTGTTGCATCCTTATTGCCCTCTTATTCACCTCACCTTCACCGCACACTCCTCTTGTGTATTTACAGCCTTGTCCTTTCACAAAGGACCTCATGAGGTCAGAAATGACCTTTGCAACAATCGTTTCTGCTCTCCTGGGTGCTCTGGTTCAGAACAGCCCCCGTCCCAGCTTTGGAAAGCTCTAAATGCAATGAAGGGAAGTCACTGCATATGCAGGGTGGTTATAAGAGAAGAAAGGAACAAGCCACAAGCTATGGATATTTAGGTTAAATCACCTATACTGCCTGCTTAACATATGCTGCTGACATGCAGGTCAAAAGGGGCAGGGGGGGCTCCCTCCTCTGCAAAGCAGATTCCATGTGGAGATGGAGAACCTGGCCCACATTTAGCGTCTGTGGCATGGACGTGCTCTGCTCCAAGCAGATCAGAGCGTAGAAAAGTCCAAAGGTTATTTATTTTTGTCACTAAAACATTGCGTTGGTGCCACTGGACCTTTTTCAGCTATTCTGAATGTCAGAGCTATGTCACACAATTCACTACCAAGCAAAGTTTACCAAGTCTTCATCTTACCAAAGAGTTATCCTTGAAGAGAAGGTTCTCAGGCTTGAGGTCTCTATGTGCAATGTTTAGTGAGTGGCAATGCTGCAAAGCCAAAGCTATCTGAAAAAGGGCACAATAAATCAACTACAATTGTAGAATTCTCCTTTCACCTGGACAGTTATTTTAGCTTTAAAAAGGACATTGACGACATAGCTYAAGTCCCAAACATTTTGGTTCCACTTGGATGCAATCCTGAGTTAAGACATCCCCGGCCATACTGAGTAACAGTGCAGCAATGCGTGAACACTGGAACTGGAACACTGGAACCAACCCAGCTACCGAGCTGCTTTCACTCAAAGCAAACAGAAGTTTTATTAGGCTTCCCAATCATTTTAGTTTGACTAACTCAGGCCATCACTACAACCCTCTGGAGTGAAACGGATCACGATGGTTCCTTTTATAGGCTGCACTAGGTCTGCAAGGTCACTAAACTTACTTGCCCCATTCCCAGAACTTGCCTTCAGTTGATCAGTCAACAATGAGTTCTTGCTTCAAGATTTTGGTAAATACTTTAATGCATTTGTTACTTGCTTACAAGTCACCATTCAGGCAGCTTTAGTCTTTAATTCTTGAAGGGACTGCCTGCAATTTACTCATTTCATGTGATACTGCACAGAGACAGATTACCCAATTTATTTTTCCCCAAAGACTGTGTCTTACGCTGCCGTCGTTTAACAACCTGAAATCTTGTCAGCAAAGCTCTACAGGCTGCACTTTTGAAAGTGCAAACCATTTAAGAAAACAGAAGCATAAATACTTAAATGGCACTACTGAAACAAAAGGTAAAGCCACATAAGCCTTTCTGGGAAGTATTCCTATAGGCTTCCATAGGGTTGTACCACATAAGGAGAGTGAAGCAGCGAGACCTTAAAAATCTCCAAATGAACCTGACCAGCAATCTTTAGCTCAGAAAGCAGCAACACAAACATGTTCTCAGAAAACAGGAGAGAGCTTTGAGTCAAAGCTTTAACAGGGACTGGGTACATCAAAGCAAGGAGTTACCTGGGACATGAATAATGGAATTGCAAATGGTTTGCAAACCATATGCAAAGTCAGAATTCAATTCATATTCTTGTCTTTGGCTTTTATTTGTTTTATTTTCATTCTTTTGGTGAACAAATTAAACCTGGAGCCCCTTGCACTGTCCAAACCAAACCACCCAAAAGGACACAAGAACAAACCATCAAGAATAATACTGCTCCTCTGTCAGATTCACTTGCTGGCCAAAGCCCAAAAGGTAACTGCACAATTAGCACTTCATTGGGAACAAGTCAAAGCGCAAGGCAGAAAACCTGGCCCTGCTTTTGCTTCGGACCACACATCAGCTCCCTTGCCCAGAGGGAACAATCAGGACAGCGATACATTCATAAACAGTCACGGCAACTTATGCCAACGCTGGAATATCTTGTCTCRTGTTTTCCTTCTCCCGTTTGCAGCAGTGATCACTGGTGTGGGAGCAGGACGGCTGCTGTTGGAGCCTCCACTGCAGCCTCTCAYCTACAGCTCTACCTCTCTTGTTTGCAGTGTCACTACAGCCTCCACAGGAGGCAAACGAGGGGGGCTCCGGCCCTCGGCTTCCTGTCATGGTACTCGCACACAGAAGGGCTCAGCCCTCCTCACAGYGAGGAGTTCCTCGTAGTTCCTCTGCCTTCCTTCCTCTGCCTCGCAGTTCTTCACGGCAGCCACGGGTCCTCTGGCGCGGCTCCCTGAACCGGCTACCGGACACGCAGCCAGGCTACCTGTCCCACTGCCCTCCCGTGGGCAYGAGGGTCGCGCCAAGGGGAGCACGTCCAGCCCAGAGCTGAGAGCTGACGCTGCGGATCCCTGCGTCAAACCCCACGGAGCCCCTTCGGCTTCGCCAGCCTCGCTGTTCCAGCAGGAGATAAGCCACTCGCAGCGGATGCACTGCTGAGCAACAAAGAGCCTGACGGACACCCAAATCTCTAGTAACAAATACCAGTGAGGTATTCAAACACAACATTTAAGAGTGAGCTCTAGTTGCCTGGAAAGATAGGAGGGGAGGAATGACACCAGAACAAACAAATGAACTCCACTTCTGCATCCTTCTTTGGGTCTTCCGTGATAGGCAGGACTTGCACAAAATAAAACAGAGAACCCGGGCTGAGAGGCACCGTCTCAAGACACACAAACATTGTCATGAGCTTCCCACCCAAGAGGAAAGAGAAACACTACGTCTGTCCCGTGGCCAAGAGCGATCCTCAGACAGGAGCCACGTGTGGCCTGGTGAGAGGGTGGACTGATGGACCAAACACTGAGAGCAGAGGTGAGGAAACAGCAGAGAAAGCAGGGAGGAAGGAGCTCAGTGGGGGCAAGTGCTCTGCAGACACAGCAGGAAACCCACAGCTAAGAACCGCAGACCCCACGGCCCCAGCCCACACCTTCCAATTCTGTGTTTCTCTCAAAGCTTTGGCATTGTCAGGTTATAACAAAGCAGGCAATGATCATCAGAGCAGAACTGAGGCGTATTTTAGCTTCCTTTTTCCCCTCCCCCCACCCCACAAAATTGTTAAATACTTTCGCCATTGTCATTCATGGATTTGCTTATATATGGGAATTAACTTGCCTGCTTTGTTACTTGGCTTGCTTGCTTCTCAGTAAAGTGCCGGTGCTGGCTGATTCTGTGAAATAGCTCTCCCCCTTCCATCATCTCCATTACAATTAGAAGCCGTGCCCTGTTTAAAAGCATTTCATTTTGTTACATTAAAATCATCAAAGAATAACAGAATTGCTAAACTAATAATGCATACTTCATATCTATTGATACAGGCCAAGAGAGAGAAAAATAGTTGCTTCTTCTACAGTTGTTCTAGCCATTTTGGTTCAGTAATTTTGCCTTTAATCGTGTAAGCTGCAGGATTTTCCGCCTCCCAGCACAATCTGACACTCTGATTTTCAGCCAGGAAACTAGTTTGCTCTTCATGCTGGTCTCCCACTTCCAGCGGGAATGAAGACCATGGACACGTCTTCACGGATGGATTCAGACAGTTACCTGCAGGCTCCTCCTGGCCGCGCCAGCTCGAGCCTGGAAGCCCTTCAGACATCTCAACGTGCAAGTCTACCCTCAAAGAGGGAGCAGGCCAACATTAGCAGACAGCGACCAGCATTAACCAGGCTAAACGTCTTCCAAACATGAGCTGCTTTGCAGCACAGCATAGACCTGTCTGCACCCATCCTTGCAGACATGCCCGTTTGCTCAGCTACCTTCTTCGGCGCTAAAGATTTTCATGGCAATTTAGTAGCAGGAGGTGGAGAGCTGCCTTTAATGCTCGAGCCAGGATCCTCTACCASATCTCCTGGTTTCCATTAGGAGTTTTACTGCCAACATCCTGAAGTGTGGAGAGGCCCTCAAGAAGCTAACGTCTTCTCAGCACACAGCAGAATCAGATATATCAGAGGCTAAGACAGGTCTCAGTCCTTTAATTCATCCAATTAGAAGACGAGATTTTATCCTACCTCATATTACTCTATACAAARTAATTGTTCTGGCTCATGTTTTGCTGTATTCATTTTAGACAGGGCTGTGTGTTGACATTACAGGACAGCAGCTTTAGTAGCTACTCTTCCATTTCCTCTCCCAACCCCTTTTTAAGTAACACTGGCAATCTAAGTTACCACCATTGAAAAAAGGGGCCTCACTTATAATTCTGGGTAGCAATGAAAGCTACAGCTCCAATTCTACTTCAGTGGGGCTTTGAAAGGAGAAAGATGGTCAAATATTACAAAAAATTCAACTCGGGCTACTAAAGCAATATCTAAGCAGGACACGAGTTATTTTGCCCTCTCAGACCGTGCAAGTATTGTACTTTTCAAAGAAAACCCTCAGAAACAAAGTGCTCAAAACCAAAATGGAAGGAAGCAAATTCATTTCACTATGCAGAGGTCTGGGCAAGTGTTGCTTAGTCTGGAGTATAGATGGCATGTCTGAAACTCCCAAATACCCAAACACTTGGGTCATGCTGTGATAAAAAATAATATTAAAAAAAAAAAAATGCAAACTCCACTATACCTTGGCCTAAACATGGAAAACAAGCTGTGGGAATGAATCACCCTATGTAATCTTACCTTGGGCTGGATTCATGTGGGAACTGCACACTGTTAGCATAAACTTCAACAATTTGAACAATATTTGGATGTGTTGCACACATCATGTGCAGACGTACCTTAAAGAGAAGGGAAGAAACGTTACCGGCCAGAGCGCCGAGCGGCCGCCCCGCTCTGCTCCGCTCCTCCCGCTGCCCCACGGCGCRCGGCGGCCTGGGCGCCGCTCGGCAGAGTCACACACAGCTTAAAACACATCCCAGTTAGTAAAAACAAGAACACCTGGAAGCCCTTAGACGAGGAACGCAACAGCCACTGTGTCAGTGGGCCTGCAAGGGCATAAAGATCATCCCCTGCCAACCTATTTGCTGCAGACTGGGGAATCAAACCCAGCAGGTTCCAGAAAACACTCAGTCTTCAGGGGGTTCTGTTGTTGTTAAAGCTCTAAAGCTAGAATTTGGGCTAAAATAACAATGAGGTATCTTCTAAACGGCTGCATATTTGGATATCTATGAATAAAAGCTGAAGTTCCATAGCCCACTTCCTTCTGCGGCCAGATGAATTAGTTTAGCGCTTACAATAGGTAAAAAACTCATCTCCTCTTCAGGCCTTTTGAAACAGGAACCCAAGGAATTTCACTCTGTTTAAAGCCACCTGAACTGGCATTACAGAGTTTTTTTTTTCCCCAAAAAATTGTAAAACACAAATTTGCTCAGTAACAGGAAACAGAAGTTGCCTAAACCTCAAAAGCAATGAATATTTCTTTTGCTTTTACAGCAACTTTGACAACTGCATATGGTTTCAGACAGCTTGTCAGTTCGGATGCGAGCGTACATCGGTGTGCTCGCCAGCGGCAGCGATGCGGGCACACGCAGTGTCACAGCACCCATCTAGTTTCTCATACAGACTCCTATAATTGAAGCATTTGCAGCAAGTCCTACAGTAAGGGCACATGAAAGTGAGAAGCACGGAAACAACATTAGTTCTGAACCATTCAGGGTCCATCGCACAGGGTGTAGGGAGAAACCCAGCTCCATAAATCAGACTTCCATGCACCCTACAACCCCTTCAGCAAAAGCACAGGCAGAGGGGCCCTCACCTCCTTCCACCCGCCACCTCTAGAAGCCGAGCGCAGCAAATCTCGGATCAAGTGCAAGGAATCCTGCGTGGCTGGATTTGCAGAGCAAAGTTTTAAGCCCCCCTGACACCAGGGGAGACTTTGCAGCGTGTCAGAGGGCAGACCACACGAGCAGGAACCGTACCTCATTTCTAGCTTTTGGACGATCGAGAAGTATTTTCAGTGCAAAGCGTTCTTGAGAGGATTTTTTCACGCAGACTCTGGTGTTACAGCAACAAAATCAGTCAGTCAGCAGGGATGTTAGAGCGACACGTCGCGCGCTTGTTCCACGGGAGCGCTCCGGGCACTCCCTCTGGGATACACGGAGCCCCAGCCCGACACCCAGCCCTGCAAAACTTCCACAACAACACAACAAACACACACAGAAACACCTCGCACAAAACTACATGTCCAGCCACGCAGGAGCACCTCAGGGCATGGGGTAACTGCTGCCCATGTTCGATTTAARGGACACTGGTGGTGACAAAGCCCAAAGTACTCAGTGGCAGCCTGGGCACGTCGGCAGCAGAGCCCTGGGGCTGGCAAGGCCTCCGGCCACGCGCGTTTTCTTCTCTCTTTTCCCCCATTTAACACTAACAATTGAGCTGCGTCAGAGGGACGGGCCCACCTAGTAACGGGCAGCGAGGAGAGAGAAGAACAAAGGGGCATTTTAATAGAGATCGGGACAACGCGGCGACGGAAGATGGATGTGGAGAAACCAAGCGGCTGGACAGCAAGATAAATGGTGGCACGAGACCATCTCCCTGCCGAGCATGCGGCAGCAGAGAGGCCCCCAAGGCTGTTCTGCAGAGCTCGTGCACAGGCTCCTGCTCCCAAAAGGGAGACCCGCACCACCAGGGAACCCACGCTCTGCTTTGTGGAAAGCGTCCGGTTCCCGCAACGCTCGGAAATTCGCGCCAGGCAGGGCTGGCATTAGACGCAGAGCTCGGGGCACTATCTGCTTTGGCCTCACATGATGATCTGAAAAAAAAGAGCTGGTAAAAATAGCTAAATGGCGCCGAGGGCTGAGGCCGCGGCGAGGACACCGGAGATGGGAGCCGCGACCTTTGCTCCGGGCTGCCTGCAGCATCAAAAGGACAAAGGTGCTCGAGCAGCCTTTCCTACCACCACCTTTTCCCAGCCCGTTCCCATTGCTGCTTTGCTTCGGGAACACAGCAGCGAGACGGGACGGAGCAGAAAAGGGAGGAGAATTTTGATGTCAAGCACACCCAGGAAAAGGCAACACCTTCCTGGCATATCATCTAACAAGCACACAGAGGATGGAGACATTTATTTATTTATTTTTTAAATAAAAAGGCTCTTCAAGATCTCATCCTTCTGGTATTAGCACCCTTAAACATGCTTCCTTCTCCCCAGGTAATGAAGCAGGCTGTGAGCACACAGAGATCCGTAGGCGCGTTCTCTTACCTAACAGGACCGCTGATGCCAGCTCCCAGCTTCTGAGTCCAGTTAATGTTGTACTCCTCTAAAATGGAGGTTTCCTGGTCAAGAAGGAGCAGGGGGAGGGGAAAAGAGATTAAAAAAAGGAATTACTAAATCCCTTCCAAAAACCCAACTCAGCAGAGCTGATCTGCAAGATGCTGGTGCAGAGAAAGTCTGTTTGGAGGTTTGCTTCACCCAGGAAAATTACACATAAATACATCGGTTCACTTACTAACAGAAGTGCTCCCATAAAGTGACTGCTGTAGGATCTTCCTGAGACTGCTCACCTTGGCATTTTGAAACGGGATTACGGAGCACAGTAAACAGGATCTTTTAATACAGAAAGCTCATCCAGGAATCTTTCCCTCCCGACTCCAAAAACCAGCTTTCCTGAATGCAAGCAATCAACTGCAGCTGGCTAGAAGGACCTCTGGTTTGGCACTATTATTCACTTTCTGATCATAAAATACAACCGCCAAAATCACTGTGCTTCTTGTAAGAGTTTTCAAACCTTTGGCATCATTATGCTGTAAATTAAACGCACGACTAGTTTTAGCTTGTCTGGTACTCCACGGCACTCGTGTTTATACAGCCTCGGTCCCAGGCCCTACAAAGAGGGCTTGGTTACGACACGGCCGGGGCTCTCCTGCTCCGACGGGTCACAGCGCAGGACAACGGGGCCGCCCCGCGCTCCCACCGGGGGAACAACACCAGAGCAGGGCTCAACAGTACGAGCACCGCGTGCCACAGCAACACGTGCCACAGCATTCTGCGACTGTCTTCCCGGGAAGGTTGTTTCGTACATCCGGAAGCAATTTCCCAAAATCCACACTTTTCTGAGGCACTGCAAGAGGCGCTAACAAAAGCGCTATTCAAGTTCAAACAAGCAGGTATTTTTGTTTGTTTTCTGGGTGTTTTAAGAGTCAACTGCTTGTAAGTAACTTTACCTTGATCAGCTCCTCCCATACATTAGTCTTCCTTCAAAACCATCTACATTTTGGGGTTTAGTCACGATACAACCTACCAGAAACCTGTGACGAGGGGTGATCCCAGCTAAGTGCATGGAAACGGGCAGCCCTGCCGCTGCTGCAGAGCAGAGAGCAGGGCTCAAACCGCAGCCAAGCCCCCAGTCCCGTGGACTGGGAGCAGAGCAAGAGAGCAGATATTGCAGGCAAGACTTGGAGGGATAAGAGAAGCTTTTGTGTAAATGACAGCCACAAAACCTATTATGTAAGTGCTGGTATAAAAGGTCCTAAAATAAAGAATTAATTATAATTGATAATCTTAGGACAATACGCTTTTGGGATCACAYTCACTGCCTATGGCTTGAAGAAAGTCAAACCTCTGAACTGAAGGAACAAACAGCAATGCAGTCTCAGACTGCGTCTCAATTAAACAATAGCAGTTTATTTCTTTTAATGCAGCTTTGAAGCCTGTCGCTCTTGTTTCAAAAATAAAGAGGAGCCTCTGCGCCTGCCCCCAAACTCACCTAATCTCTTCAGCTACATGAATAGGCCTAAAAAAAGAGATCCTCTCTCTACATACAAGCCTAGGCTTGACCAAACAGAGCAGCCTCTGCGGCAACAGAGCCCGTTTTCCCAACTGGGCCGGGCAAGGAGAAGCCCATCAGGAACTGGCAAGTCTGGGATCTATGAATCAGAAGAGAAAATGAGATCTGATATTTCTCAACACCTGAAGGGAAAGGTCAGCAGCTACAAAGAGTAAATCCATTACTTATTTCTCAAACAGATTCTGCACATTTAGCAGCTTTCAAATAATAAGCAAGAGAAAAATGTTTTTTCTTTTTTTTTTTAAAGCATTTTTTACCTCAAGTTATGAATAAATATAAAAGTCTAGTGAACACAAACCATTATTCACCATTTCGTAACGATACGAAACGTGTAATTTATTAGCTTTAACACATACTAATCTACTGATTTGGCTAAAGCTCCTTTAACTCACAAATACAAGTTCCAAGCCTAGCGTCAGGACTGTGTGTAGCTGTTAGTGCAAAATTATTTAGTAAGGACAAATATAAAACTGCCCTCTGAAAATATTAAAATCTCTTTCAGCTTTTTAGCCCTAAGTGTTCGCTGTTGTAGGTTAGGGTGTTACGGAGGCAAAAGGCCGGGCACTGCATCCGGAGGCCTCCCGCTTTTGCGAAGCTCTGGGTGCCGCTTGGAGCATCCTGCACGCAGAAAGAGCCCCCCGGGCGGCTCCAGCCCGGATGCCCCCGGCTCACGGAGGCTGCTTTCAGCCGCAGGGCGCTGGAAAGGTCAGGTGCTTCTCAGGTTCCAGCGGGAAAAGGACGACAAAGAATTTCCCACTGGAAAAACTATGACATAAAAGCACTTCAAGAATAATAATGCACGTTCAAAGCTGATTAAAAGCGTACGGGCTGTTTGGACAACAGCCACCCATTCAACAGGTATGTGGGTCTGCTGCTCAGCCGCTGGCCTTTCGGCTTCGGCGCCCTGAGCCCCAGGTCACGGGGCTTAAACCCGCACAGGCGGATGAGAACCACCAAACCGGAGCGAYGCGTGAACATCAGCRGGACACAGGGATGGGCCGGACACCCAAGGGTGCTGAATTGCACCTGCGATTCGGGCAGCRCTGGTAACCCCCGAGAGTCACCCCRAATCCGCACGGAGCGGGGCAGCTACGAAGCCTCCCTGTTCTGAATCCAAGAGCTGTGACACTATCCCCAACCTTTACACGGAACAGCACGGAAACGCACAACAAAACGGGCCCTCTGGGAGCCTCCTCGCGGGCCGCGCTGAGGTCGGTAACRGGGGCGAGGRGCCGGTACCGGACCCCGCAGCTGCCTCCCCGACGGCCCAAAGGGGCCCGGGGCCACCGGCCGCTCTGCAGCCCACAAAGCGGGRCTGCAGCTTTGCAGCCCCTCCAGAGCTCAGCACCACAGGAGCTTGTWGCAAAGCTGCCTTCAAACCCGTGCGAGCTGCAACAGGCCCGCGGCGGAAGACAACAGAGTGAAGGGAGGAAAAAGAAAGCAGAAGACAAATTCCATCCCCCCCCCCTTTTTTTTTTTTAAATCTCCTCTTTTCTGGCGGTCGTTTCTCTTACTACACTTCTATCAAGGCGAGCGGAACCCGCGGCCCGGAGCGGCACAACAGACCCTCAACAGCACACCAGGCCCCGCGCACCGCCCCGCGCCGAGCCCCTAGCGCTGCCTCCCCGCCCCACCGGCTCCCCGCTTCCCGCGCTGCGGGGGGGCTCCCGGGAAGCCGCAGGGCCCCGGAGCAGCCGCGGCGGCTCCGCGGCCCGCAGCGCCGCGCGGGGCGGCCGCGCTACCTTGATGGTCCTGTCCATGTCGCGCTGCTCCGACATGGCCCGCGCGGGCGGCCGCGCGGGGCGGGCGGGCAGCAGG